CTTGCATCTCCTCTTACGTAGACGCAGCGCCGATCCATGCCGAAACGATTGACCGACGTCCGACTCCCATACACACTTGGGAAGGAATCGAATCCACCTTGCCTCCACAGCACTTGGTAGACTCAGGAGCGCACTCCGACCCCGTCCAGCGTCCAGCACAAGTATGGGGTCGACCTTACATCCCCACGGAGGTACAGCGAGTCACCAGCGCCGCCTCTACCATGCGGCCCGAGAGGCCATCCTTTACCAGACAGAGCGCAAGAATCTACAGTTTCTATGCCACGCCACCGAGTGGCACGCATGAAATGTTCCCGAAACTGAGCCAACTCTGTGTGGCCCCCACAAGGGGCAATGCTCCTCGGTTCCACACACTCCGAACGGTGAATTTTTGTTTCGTGTGAGCTAGCAGGCAAGATCATAATGGTATCAAAACTCTCCTGGGCGTACACGCAATGAAGAACAGCCTCATGTAGGCATCTCTGAATACGTGCTTTCCTCTCAAAACATATGCTATCGGCCTGCGTTGTCTGCACATGGAACTTGTCTATGAAACTCCATGGCTAAATTTTGTCTCATTTCCGACCCTAATTTGGCACAAATGAGTGCGTTCTTCTCGTCCTTGCACAAGCGCGCGGGACCGCACTAAAAATACAGCCCGTCCTTGCGTGCATCTCGCCACGACTGCGTGAACGAGGCCGCGGCCGATAAACAGCTCGGATGCCGCTGGGGGAAATACGGCGTCTTGACGTCCCGCTGCCACCCAGCTGTCACCTGTCCACATGTGGCCGAGAATCGGACCCATCCCCGCGCCGCCGCACACAACTGGCGCCGCCAAACACTACAAAGCAGGCCGCGCAGTCCACTTAGCACATAAAACCGTGCAACGCGCAGCTGTGCCGCCGTTTTCAGCGGCGCTCCGCAGGCCGCCAAACCGCGCCAGCCGCCGCCGGCCGCGCGGACGAGCGTTTTTCCGTCTCCACATGTCGCGGCGTTGCAATCCGCCACGGTCGCGCGGCGCGGGCCGCCATCTGCGCCGCGCTCGCCGCAGCCTCGGCGCGGCGACGGCGGCGCGCGGCCGAGCGGCCGGCCGGAAGCGGTCCAGTTCCGCCGGCGGCCGCCGCCGCTGAGTGACAGCCCTGCCGGGTGATTGACAAATTGCCGTATGGGTGGTGACGGGCGTCCATTGTGCGCGGCATTAAATCATTAAGCGTGCCCGGCGCCGTCGCAGGTAGCAGTCGGCGCCGGTAAAAACAGACATTAGACGGACGGCCGACCAGCCGTCGGCGAGCGGCGCGGCCGAGAGGCTTTAATTAAATGCCGGCCATCGCCTCACGGCGCACTGACGGCAGGGCATGCCCGGCATCCGGGCGGCGGCCGGCCGACGGACGGGCGCGGCTGGGGGCACGACGGCGGGGGCCACGGAGGCGCAGCTCTGGGGCGGGGCTCAGCGGCTGGGACCCGGAGCTCGGCGGCTGGGGAGCTGGTGCTAGAGAGCAGGGGAGTTGGTGCTAGAGAGCAGGGGAGCTGGTGCTAGAGAGCTGGAGAGTTGGTGCTAAGCAGCGGGACGCTAGAATCTGGAGCCGTAGAGGTGATGCTTGGAGCATGGGGACGTGGGCCCGGGAGATCGGCAGCCGGCCCCAAGAGATGAAGCATGAACGCCCCAGGAGCTTCGGAATTACAGCTTGGGAACTGCGCAGTTGGCCTCGGGGGCTCGGGAGCTTTGGGTCCTACATTCTGAGAGAAGACCTGCGGGCATGGGTCGACACCGGTGGCCCAGAAGGCACACAAGAAACTTTCCTCCGCCGACCAGGGCGCAGCTGATGAAAAGGGACTCAACCATCGAACGGAGAGATTCGTGATAGACTGCATGCATGCACCACGCGCCGCGCCACTCTGGGTAGGAGTGAAGCTGGCCCTCCGGTCTATGGCATGATCCGCAGCCGGACTGACCGGTCTGCACTTATCGAGGCTACTCAGGAAACGAAAACACAAGCAGCTCCAACTACAAGTGCCGTCCCAGTTCCCAGCAAGTAATCGCCGACGTCGCAGCGCCTGTTGAATGGGCGACCACGGCGCCGGGCCGTCAACCGCGGCGTCGCCATGCGCGGGGTTGCCCGGGGGTCATTTGTCGGAGTGGCGCCGCCCAGCGCCGGGCAGGGCGACACAGCGGGACAGCGCGCCGCCGCTCGGCGCCGCCCTCCCCCTGAATATGCGAGAGCACGGAGGGGTGCGCTAATGGTCGGCATCGACTGTTTATCGAGCCAGCAGGCCGCGAAAAGCGCGCATCATGCCGCAAACCGCAACACCTTATCAAATATACATTATCATCACCATTTGGCGCAGTGGCATGCCACGCTCTATTAAGTGGAGCAAACGACAGCGCCGCAGGGAAAACGACCAAACGGTCACACTCAGCGTCGGCAAATGCCACAAAACGGCTGTTTGTGTCGAGTGGACGCGGACGGGGACGGGCCACACGACTGACGTTGGCACAGTCAGCCGCCGCTGAGCCAGTTCACCGTCGCATCTCGGACGAAGCCGAAGAACAGGCACGTTGGGCGCACTCGTGGGCGACGATGTGGGGCCACGGTGTCGGGGCTTGACGTACTGAACAGCTGATAGACAAAGGTCGTTCCGGCAGCGACCGGCCGTCTGCCGGCAGCACGCGGCCGGACCGACCCCTTCGTACAGCATCAGCTGCAGCGGACAGGACCGCCGGTAGCCTCACACGGGCCGAGGACCGACGCCGGCGGCAGCCCTCCCCACGGGTGGCGACTCCACACGGCAGCCCTCATGTGCCTGCTGACCAGCCCGCGCCGGCGGTGCGCCGGTCGCCGCCGCCCCCGCCGCCCGGCCGCGCGCGGGGAAGCCCAGATGAGTGGCTCCCACGGTGACCCGTGGCGGTCCATCTCTCCCCCGCGGGGAGAGGGGACGGGGGCGGCGACGCTCCGGTGCCAGGCCGAAATCCGGACCCGGTTCCGGGCCGAAATCCGGACCCGGTTCCGGTCTGAAACGCGCTCTAAATACGCGCCATCGCCGGCCTGTAATTTATGTCGGATACTTCGGAACCGTAATTGTAGCGGCGACACGCGATGTGTAACAAGCCTTTGAATTCGAGAGTGAAATGTTTTGTCATTGACGGAAGCGGTGAAATATGGAGCGTGGCCCATTGAAAGCGGCCAATCATGTCGGCCCGTTCTGGCGGCGTGCCGCGCTCGGTCCGGCGGTTTGTTTGCCGGGCTGACCGGCGCGTGCCGCGCGGGGGCGCCGCCGGCTCACGGGGGCACCGGTCGCGGATGCTCGGCAGGGCAGGGCAGGATACGGCGTAGCGGCGGCGGCGGCCGGGGCAGCGCGCCGCGGCATTCGGACGGGTTTTGATTTAAAACGTGTCCATGTGGTAGTTTGGTAGCTGACGGAGCAGCTCACGTTGGTATGGCCTCCCAGCCAGGACTGTGCTTAGCGTAACTGGATTGAGCTCGTATTTTCCCTACTGAGCCGGCATTTTCGTGTAATTCGTTCAGCCGGCTGCTGATTTTTGAAGATGGGCTGTAATATTCAGGGCGTCAGATGTATCATTACACCTAATGCAATGACGCTTAGCTGCCCTGTATCGAGGTCGGGTCCAACAGTTTGTTCTCTCACTCGTGCTCAGTGTCGATGTGTGCCCCCACCACTATGATCTTATCGCCTCAGTCACATCAGCGGCAGTGGGCAGCCACTGTCACTTGCGGAAGCTTTGCAACATTCCATGCGGCACATGCAGCGCTGCAGCCTGACCTTGCCAGATTGATCAGACCCGCGCCGCTGTTCGTGCAAGTAATGCTGATTTGGCATCGGGATGCTGCAGCTCGTCGCTGAGGACCGGGCGGTGAAGCCCAGCAATTTACCGGCCTTCATCTCCTGCTAACCGGTGCTCATGAGCACCACTCGGTTCGAATGCATGCAACCGAATCACGGGCTCATTAGAAAAACCGGACGTCTTTGATGACGTCGGATTCCCCCACTCCGCCAGGCATGACCGATGGAACAAATTGCTCACGGCCGACACCGGCGGCCGTAACATCTCCGGTTGTCATGACAACAACGCCGCGGTTTTATCGCCCAATTGATGTCGAGCCGCCACGAGTCTCCAACACAGAGGTGTTCGGCCGCTATAAAGCACGCCCCACGGGGCACCGCCGCCGGCCGCGCCGCGCGCCGTAACAAGGCGGCCACCGACGGCGCCGCCAGAGGCGCGCCTGCAGCAGCGACAACAGCGAGGGAGACCCCTTCGTGACACGCCGCGGCGCGTGCAGACGCGGCTAATTGGGCCCTTGGCGGCGGCGTGCGGTCGCCGGGACGACGGCGCTGCGTCGAGGGCGCCGGGCAGCAGCGCAGTGAGCCGTGTCAACACCATGCTCTGACCAGACTAGGGGCACTGAGGGCGCGGGGAGGGCCGCTGACAGAGCGTGACTGTGGCCACCGCCGGCCGGCCACTGCTGGCGGCGCGGAGCACGGGGCTTCGCAGTCGCAAAGCCATCGGCACAGTGCGCGTGGTTTTAGTAGCGGCAGTCTCACGGCCGGAAATGAATCGTGTTATGGGCGCCACGAGCGTAGGGCAATCGTCTTGAAAACAAGTACAAGCTTGGTGAAATCATCGCTTGGGACGAGGGTGATGACCTTTGAGAAGACCTGCACGTGGAAGACGCGTGGACATGAGCCTGTTTGGCATGGCATGTTGTTGAGCATGTTAACAGGACGTGAAAGGCCGGCTCAGCTGATCACTTGCCACGTTCGTGACAGAGGACATCAAGGCGAAGAATATTCCCTTTCAGAATGCCTTAAGCGAACGTCCTAAAAAGCTCACACAAAATAACCAAAACATCACGTTTTGGCAGAGACGTCTCAAGCTCTGGAAGATCAGCTCGCCTCACTCGGCCGAACCGGTCGCCCCCCCCCCCCCCCTCCCTCTCCCGTCCGGACCCCCATACACGGCCGAGCGCGGCACAGCGGCGGCTCACCTTCGCCGCCACGATGATGGGCACGTTGGCTGACTGCAGCGTCCAGAGCACGTGCAGCGGCGTCAAGCCGGCCAGCAGCACGTACAGCGCGGCCGGGTACAGCAGCGTGAACAGCAGCGTCAGCAGGCGCTGGCCGCTGAAGTGCAGCACCATGGCGGCGATCAGCGCCGTCTGCAGGATCAGGAACACGCCCTCGCCGTACGTGCTGCCGGAGAAGCGGGCGGCGGTCGCGGTCAGGCCAGGGAGAGGGTGGTACTGTGACGTCATTGGGCTCTGAGCTCCAGCCTCTACGGAGTGGCAGCAAAACGTGTAAGAAAAGGCGGTGCCACGACTTAAAGGGTACAAACAATGTTGAAGGCTATGTACTTGGCGTTTTAACTTAGCTTAACATAACACTGCACAATTTAACGCATGCATCTAGTGGCCGATAATGCGATAAATGCAAGTCTGACACATACAAGAAGCTCCGCATGATAATGTAACTTAGGGAACAAGCACGCAAGGCGTGAAACTCTTTTCAACAGAGGGAACTTTGCTGCTGCAGTTCGCCTTTTAAATATATCGTAAAACGAGTAATATGGAAACCATACAAATCTCACTGGTAGAAACGCAGACGTGTTCGAGTCAAACAAAACAGACACTGTTAGCACTAGGCATGAGAGTGGTAGTAAGAGTGAAAGGTCAAATATTGTGTTCTATTCCACTGCGGTGCAGTTAATTAAAGCACAACTAAGAACAGGCGAAGGCCTGATCCATGTGCAGCCTAAACCAAATTCACTGTGGCGAATAACTACTAGACAAGCTTCTTCACATCTCGCACGATCTACCCCTGTCTGCACATACACGCCCCCTGTTTACCACCCCGGCTCAGTAAAACTGTCCCCCGTAAACCCCAGTTTAGGACCGCTGTCCGGCCGTAGCAGGCCCCTCGCGTCAGCTGCCCTGCCGCCGTGCCCGCAGCGGACACCTGCCCCGCCGCGCCGCTGCGACCTCAGGGTGCAGCTGGCCGCGGCGCGCCGGCCGGCCGGCCGACGCCGGCGCGCCGTCCTCCCCGGCCGGGAGCGCGGCGGCACCGGCGCCCGGCCGTCTGTTTTGCCCGCCCGGTTAGAACCCGCCGCATAAAACCGGCTGCTGCCTATGGGAGGAGGCAGCGCCGCCGACCCCATAAAACTTTACGGCGACGCCATGTCGGCGGCCGCCGGCGGCCAATGGCAACGGGCGCGCGACGAAGGCCGGCGCGGCGTCGCCGCTCGCCGCCGGCGGCGTCTTTTGTGCGGCCTTTGGACGGCCGCCGGCAGCCGCGGGCGCCGCGCAGCTGCCGTCGGACATTAATTACCGCAGGATTCGAGTCAGCCGCCGGCAGCATTCAGCGCGCCGCGAATAATCCATATCTTGACACGTGGCGGCCCACCTTGGTCGCACGGCGCACAGACGGACGGGCGGGGCCGAGCCGGCGGCAGGCGCGCGGCAGGCGGCAGGCGGCAGGCGGGCGGGCTAGCGGCCGGCCGCGTCGCATCGAACCGCGATGACAGACACTTTCGCGCATAAAATCCCGACGGAAAATCATTAACCAATACGGCAAGGCTTCAATGCGGGGCGTTGAAATTGTAATCTCGTTAAAGGGTGCCGGCAATTAGGCGAACATGCAAATGTCATGAGGAACTGGCCGCGCGCATTGTTGACAGCTCCGAGGGGAAATTATCTGCGATGACTCGGCGGCCGGACCGCGCTGAAGGGCCGGCAACTGTCGGCGGCGCGCGGCGAGCAAAAACGGCGCCACTCTTCCTTGCAGAGCCGCCGCCGCCGCCGCCGCCGCCGCCGCCGCCGCCGCCCGCCGGCCGATGCGCCCGCTCCGGGGCCATCTCCGGAAGAGTCGCCGTCATTACTGGGGCAGCGATTTTGAGCGGACAAAAGCCGACCATAACTTTCCGTCTAATTTCGGTTTATTGACTGGGACCGTACGGCTGAGAATTCGGCGCGCCATTACGACCGGCGCCTGCCGTGGCGGCGGGCGCGCGACCCACGGGTCAGCTGAGGCCAGCGCCGCGCCGACCGCGCGACCCCGGTGACATCTGGGCGCGCGCGGCGGCCGCCGCCGCGCCGGCCAATCAGCTGCGACCGCCTGCAATCACGACCAATCGCGGTCGGAGATGGCCGCGATTATGCGTGAAACAAAAGCGGGCGGCGGAGAAGGCGCGGCCCGCCACCTGGGAGTCGGATGACGAATTACCCGCTGAGCAGACCCGGCCCAGGTATGGGGCGCGCCCGGCAGGGGGCGAATTGGCTACGGCAGACGGGGCGGTGCCACGCCGGCCGGGCCAAACTCACGTGGAGGGCCGGCGGGCAGGAGGCCGGGGGGATGGGGGCTCCGCCGGCTCGGACTGCAGCGGATGAGACATCGCCACAGCGCGGATCAGACCCGCACCAGGGGAGGATCAATATGGGATGAGCCGCGCGCCGGAGCGCCGCACCGGCCGTCGACACGGCAGCTCGCTAATGCCGCCGACGCCGGGAGTGGCGCTAAAACCCGCCGCCTCATGTCCGCCGGCCGCGGCGCGCACCGCCGGGGGCCCCAATTTTCCACCGACTGCACACCTTTTCGAAACGGACCGTGTCCGGCAATTAGAGAATCTCGGGGCGGGATAATGAAGAACGGGGCGGGGGCGAGGTCGCCGTTTTCCGGTCGACGGCGCCCCAAAGCGGCCGCTGAATGGCGGCCCGGCCGTCTTCACAGGTGGGTAGCGGCGGGGCGGTCCCGGCGGCGACCCGCCCCGCCGCGGCCGCGCTCCGCCGACCCTCCAACCCCGCGGGCCCGAGGCGCCCCCGGCCGTCACGGGCCGCGTCTCCTGAGCCGAGGTGCCCTGCGCAGATCTCGCGCGGTGCCGACACAGCACGCGCGTCTCGTGACGGCCGCTGGCGGTGTGACAGCGCGGGGCCATAATGGGTGGCGGCGGCTGTGGCTTGGGGCGCGCCGACGCAAAAGACGACGTTTGGGGTTCGCGGTCAATGCGTGCATGCGCGTTAAGACCCTCTTCTTAAAGACCCTCCCCAACGCCGGGGTACCCTCAAATCATTCTGACACCGCTGAAACAAACGAAAGTGTGTGTGTGGAGGGGGAGCGAAGGGGGCCTTTTTGGGGGCCTTTACGAGTACCACCGCCAACATGTCAACACGGATCTATTCGTCACTCGCAACATGAGTAGCAACATTGGCGCCGCGGATAAGTGACGTCACATGTGACGTCATGAGTAACAGCATGAGACGTCACGGACAGTGCGTCAGACGCACTGTGAAGCGCGCCGGTAAGCCCTGACGAACAAAAGGGGGAACGGGGCGATTTAGCTCTGGGTGGCACGTACAGCATAGGAATGACGCATTTGGCCATGGTCATACCCGTTCCACTGGACATTTATTGACATGTTATGCGGCCACAACATGGTCGTCTATCACGCCATCCCCATCCGGCCGAGCGTTGCCCATTTGTCCGACATCCACGACCGTCAGCACGCGTTGGCCGCCGCTGGGCCCGGCCATGTAAACAACTGCAACTCACCGCACTTTTCGCCTCTCGGCCAAGTGAGGAATGCGTTTCGGCAGTAACGTAACTAGTAAGTCAGGTAGCTACGTCAATAATCGGACCGGCTTTCCCGAAGTAGTGAATAGACTTCCAACCGTCCATAAAGAACAGCCCCACGTGTTCAACGGATTATGCCATGATGTCAAGGTGGTAACCATATCGCTGTCATTCAACATAACGAGCATTCATTAACGTCCTCGCTGCCTGCGGGTCCTCGCTGCCTGCGGTGGTCGTGGCTGCCCTTAACTAAACACAGAATGGTGAAGTTCTTCAGGCCTGTAGCAGGCAACATCTTGGTCCTTTCGCGAAGCCGGAAGAGCCCGAAATCACGGAGGCAGTCACGGTGCAGTGGACAACGATCAATTCAACAGATGCTTTGGCCAAACATATTACCGGCGATCAGCCACCGTGGAGGGGATTACGACTAATGCCCCCGGGACAAACCGCGCCAGACAGCAGCGAGCGAGGCCTCGGCCGCGGCAACGGGACGGGACAGGCCTGGCGGCGTATCGCTGACCCGCCAGCCGGCGCCTGGTAGCGCGGGCCGTACCGGCCATCTCGTGCTTTATTTGCGCTTTGCCACACACACGCAACGCCGCTTTCGGCGGTGGAAAAAGCGCGGCCGCGCGGCGCCGGCACAAGTGTTGCGGTCTCCGTTTTTACGCCCGGCTGGCCGGCGCGGGGCGGTGGCCCTCCATTACCAAAACGAGCAGGTGTTGGAAAGTGAAAAATTACGGCTCGTCACCTCAATCAAAATATTCTCATCAATTATGAAAAATCTCCGGAGGAGGCCGATAGAAATGAGCGCCGCGGGGCGGAAATCCAATCTCGGACAATCGCCGTAATATGGTAGCACTGGAGGACGCAGTCCCCGCTGTGCTGCCAGACGCCGTCGTAATTAAAACTGGCAACCGACGCGGCCCGGCCAGACCGAGCCAACAGCCGAGCCTACAGCCTGTCAGAATAGCACTCGCCACAAATTTGTTGCCATTAACGATCTAGCTATTGATCAGTGCCCGTTGTCGGATTATGCAGAGCATAATTGCTGTGCACCACACCTAAGTACAGGCGTAAGCTTTGTGGTTAGCCGCGGGGGCGATAAATAACTATGCATGAGCCGTTATTTAAATTCATAAAACCCTGTTGTGCAGTTATTGATTGCATATAACGCCGTAACGGCTTAACCAAACGCAATTCTCATAAACTAGTGGCGGATTAGCCAACGTAAAATTAAGGTAATTCTACATTATCCTTATCCGGGCGTCAAGCCGAGGCGATTTGTTTGATGCGCGGCGGCGCCGCGGCCGAAGTGTTGAGTTGATGACTGCGTGATCAGATACGAGGGAGGAAATCATGGGTCGGCAGAATGAGGTCCAGCCCTCCAACCCGAAGCACTTCCTGTTCCCCCGCACCTCCACTCTCACTCGACTTCGGCCTCTTTGTTTGAACAGGCGAGGTCTGGCCACGTATTTGACTAAGCCGTTAACGGTAGGATCTTGGCGAACGCCGGGCTCTCGGCCTTATCACGGGGTGCAATTATGCCGGTATGTGAGATGAGTGGCATACCGTCGGCAATGTTTGCCGCCCCGCACGTCTGTA